GAGGCTCTGAGCTGTTATTTGGCTCTCAAACTGAAACCTTCCTCAGCAAGATGTTTCCAATCATTCTGATCGTGATTTTGGGTTTTCTGAGTCAGGGTGAGCGGGTTTTAATATTGTGAGCTGTTATCCAGAGGTTTATGGTTTCAGACATCGTTAAATTATCACTTGTTGAATTTTGATTTTCAAGTTTTCTCTTTTTTATTTCAGAGTCGTTTGCCCAGGATTTTCTGAATCAGGCTGATAAATCCAAGTCTGTCAGTGTTGGAGGGACTGTGAGCATCAGCGCCACAGGGAGTCCAAATATTGGTGCTGTTCTCAGTTGGTACCTCCAGAAACCTGGCCAGCCTCCCAAACTTATGATATTAGGTGCATCAAGACTGTTCTCAGGAACTCCATCTCGATTCAGGGGCAGTAGATCTGGTTCTCACTACACCTTAACCATCAGTGGTGTTCAGGCTGAAGATGCTGGAGATTATTACTGTCTGGGTAATCATGGTGGTGGACGGTTCACACAGTGATTCAGAGCCGTACAAAAACCTCCCTCAGGGTAACTGAAGGCTGCAGGTGCAGAGTGTTGTTGAAGACAGCGTGAGGAAGTAAAATGGACCAGCAAACACAACTCATCAAACAGTAACACAATTAGCTAAAATAAAAAGTTAAAACAAACACAAATCTGCTATGCAACTTTAATCAAAGTGTCTAATTCTGTCTTATCAGAACATAGAGGCCATTGGAAAATATCAAGAAGTATTCCCAGCATATATAAAGTGTTCTGTGTCAAAAATCACATCAGAAGAAAAACTCACACAAATGTGAAAATATGGTTATGACATAAAAATGAATGTTAGGTATGATGTGTAAATGAAAAACATTTCATGGATGATTTATGTATCCCAGTGGCCTTGGACATAAAATACAGTTTACCCTGAAATATTAGCTCATTCATATGATTAATTCTGAATTTCTTCTTTTTCTTTTCACATTTACTGCCAGTATGAGACACAAACTGAACCTGCTTATATGATGGAGTGATTGCTTTGTACTACAAAAGATCTACTTTTGCTTATTATTTTTAATTTCCAATGGTTTACTGGAATTGATATCTGATAGATGAGGACAGTAAACGGTGGCATTTATCAGAGAAAGCTTTATTTGCACAAACGTTGACCATCACTAGCATTGATCAAATACACTCACATCCAGCTGCAGTAAGTTGTTGTTGTCCAACCCTTCACAGCAGAGATGATTAGTAACACACAAAGCTCTAGTTTCTCGCCAAACTTTGAAGCTCCTATTGATCAAAGCAGCAGGGGCTTCCTCCTCCCACACGCTGCTCCTGTCCTGGTCTTCAGTCGGACCCTCTAAGCCTGACACTGGCTCCTCCGGAGGGACTGGACCTGCCTGTGCTCATGATGGAGGACCCTGCAGGAGAACAGCTCTCCTTTCGTCCAGCTCTCTCGGCTCAGGCTCAGGGTGCTGCTGCTGCCGTAGCGGCCGCCCTTTTCCTCCTCTGGGCTGGTCAGGACCCCCTCTGTCACCTGGGTACCGTCCACCTCCCAGCTGACCACCGCTCCCTGAGGGGAGTAGCCGGTGAGCAGGCAGGCCAGCGTGGCCGAGCCCCCAGAGAGCTGCTCAGAGGACGGGGGGAGCAGAGACACCGAGGGTCTGACCA